CTCCGAAGCCCACTCCGTGAATAGGAGGTTGCGTGGGGCCTTGTTGGCGGCATCCTCTGCCTCGGTCTTCGCCTGCTCACCTCACGTGGTATTTTTTCGCAGGTGCTTTCGACCACTTCGGGAACTTCGGGGTCTGGGCGGTAGGCTTCGGATTTCAGGGCTACTGCCATTGCACGAGGTTGCTAGTTGATGTTGCTGTCTGTGCCTAAACATGGCAAACTGGCTACTTAAGCAGCTTCGCGGCTCTTATCATCACAGGATTGAAAATCGGTTCATTGCATGCCGCCTGCACAGTCTTCAAAGCGTCGTTGCCACATCTATCTACGGACCTAAACCTCAAACAGCTCTGAAGGCTCTCAAAACATACCTCGGTCCTCAAAACCGTCCGAAATCCCTCGCAGGTTTTGGGCTTCGAGTTGAGATTCCAGGCCGACCTCGGCTTCAAAGGTCGGTGGCATAGTGTTCAGGCGTTCATCCCAGCAACCCCAAGCCCTGAAATCTGCGAAAAATAAGCAAAAACCCGTCCAAGTCTCACTGTCACCTACTACAAGCCCAAATCTTCACGTCTCAAAATGCTGCCTGACGCGCGGATGGACCCTTGCAGAAATCACATTCAGCCCACTCTATGTAACCGAAGCATGCGACCGCCCACCCCCCCTCCCCGCCAGCCCCGCCCTCCGGGGCAGCATGCGGCATGCTAGAGTCTAACATACTCTTGGAGCCTTTGGCTGCCTCGACAGGCTTGGCGGCTTCTTTGGGCCTCGGCAGCGTGGCCGAACACTAAGTCCCCTTTTACCCTGGTCTTCTAACCTTTGATGCTCATGTCGTGGGTCTGGAAGAACTGAAAAAACACTCAGCTCGGCTTCGGATCTTCGGTGTCGGGTGTTTTGCTGTTCCTGTTGGGCTTCGGGGCTTGCGAGGTAAAGCGCTTCAAGGCCCTCCAAGGTCCGAGTGCACCATGCTGGCCCTATGAATTATACAGCACATGGAAGGCAGCATGTCTTCAACCCGAAAGAAGTTACGTCCGAGGCTCCAATGACTGTACAGCCGCAATCAATGTCAAGCATGCTGAGAAACAAACGGTGGCACTGCTTGAGGGATGAAGAATAACGGTACTGGAAAACCTGCAGCCCGCCTGCCTGCCTTTCTCTCTCTCTCTCTCTCTCTCTCTCTCTCTCTTGCTTGGGATCTCTCTCTCTCACACACACACACGGCTCAGGCACGACCCGCACTCACCGGGGAGTCGGGCCACCGCCTTTGGTTGCCGCCCTGTTCTGCCCCTCAGCCCGCGACGCATTGCGAGCGAGCTGCTCGTGAGAGCCCTTGCAGAGCAGAAGCAGCCCATCAATGGAGTTGGCTGTGATGGAATGCAAGCACCCCTCAGTCACTAAACCCTCAACACCGGAATGCCCCTCATCAACCCGGACAAGGCCTGCGATGGCTCGCCTTTGACTGGAGCAGGAAGCCTGTGCTTTCTGTGAAAGTTCGGGGGCTGAGCGGGAAGGCTGTGTGTCTGGGAGCGCGCCGGGCCCGCAACAACCGACACCTTGCACCGCTGAGCAGTCTCACTCAAGCCAAGCCACGCTGCGAGATTCTTAGCCTTGGCTTTGGGCTTGCTCTTCGCAGCTGTGGGCTTCTTGACTGCGGCATCCACCTGCAGCGTCTGGCAGCACTTCCTCGCAGGCCCTCCCTGTGGCCTGGGTACCAACATGTTTGATAGCTCTTAACTAGCGGCTAGTGTTAGACCTTGGCCGGATCTGCCGAGATTTTGTGTGGGCCTTCTCGGTGCAGCAGAATGTCATTCCCTGTGCAGATGTATGTAAGAGTTCGGTGCATGGGTCCTTGGGCTCTGCAGTAAGCCAGTAAGCTCTCATCATGTCATGCCCTATCGTGTCCAAGAGTCTCCCTCAATGCCGCCCAGAGCTTGAAGGCTTCGATCTTGTACCCCAAATTCCAACCAACTCGAATCCACTACAATCACTACATATCATGGGGTGTCCGGATGGCTCTTGCTTGGATCAACTATCTTTCGGCATTCGCCGAGCGTTCTCGGACTGAAATCTGGGTGCCTCAGGCGGAGGCGCATTGCTCACGGGCGCAGGCCTGAGTCACACTAAATCACACTAACATGAACAGAAGCTAAATGGGACAGGTGGCTTGCGCCTCGGATAATTCAGCTTAGACAGCATGCTAAACAGATTTCGCAGTGACTGCGAACTTCGTGTGTCGAGATGCTCTGACTCTGCAATGTGCTTCTTGGGGTACCTTGCTCGACTCAAATGCTCGTGTTTAGTCCCTTGCAACCTCTGTGCTCCAAAGATGTGACCTTCAACAGGGAGCGGTCCAAGTCCACACCTCAAGAGTTGTTCCGAAGTTCAATCCCCAACAGCCTTTAGATCTAAGGTACGAGGATTTGGGCTTCGGTCTTCGGTGCTGTCGCGCTGCGAACTGCCAACATCCTTCTTGGCCCGCTTCTTGGTCCGCTCCTGTGACGAAGCCGGCTGGCTGGAGTCGTTTTTGTACTCGGGCTTGCAAGCTATTGCAGTGGAGGCTTATTGTGGATTGAGTTGGTTTAGGCGCTCTTTTCGAAAGGGCTGTGGAAGGCTCGTCTATCTACCGTAGATAACACGTCGTGAGAGTCTGCTCGAAGGCACCACTCGCATGAAATCTGTTAAAACATGTTGTTTAGCAAAAACGATGTTACAACATACCTGCCTGGCCCCGACATCTGCAACAATCTTGAGAGTAGCTCTTGAAAGGGCACTACAAGGAATGAGCAGGAAATGCGCGCGCTGGCATCATAAGGTTGAGCGGAGAAGGCTTTTGCAACTGCCAGATCCTGGAATCCAAGAGCCTCTCCAGGTCTCAAGACTTGAAGGCTCAAGCTGTCATGGCGCTGGAGTTGTTTCCAGACTGAACCGAAGCGATGATAGAGCGCATCGGCAGTGAGGGTTCTGCAGAGACTTGCTGACACCACCGAAATGCTTCAAGAACTTCAGGCGGATAACCCGCAGCCACCATATTGTCAGAGAAAAGAACGCAACAACTCACAAGGCAACACATCAATCCAAACTGGCATCGCCATCGAGCAAACGAGACTCCACTAAACGACACCTGAAATGACACTACAAAGGACTGCCAGTTGTTCTATGGCTTTCGCACCCTCCTCCTCCTCGTTCTTCCGGAGCGATCTCTTTTGCTTTTGTTTGTCAGCCTTGTCTTTTTTTTGCCGCTTCCTTTCTTTCCTTTCTTTCCACTTCGCCTGGCAGGACATCCCCCCTACGCCCCAGGACCCCTCGTCACCCTTGGCCGGGAGATTTGCCTTGCTTGTGCCAACGGCAGGGTCCACAGATCTGGGATCCATTCAAACGAAAAGACCCTAATCTTTTAATTTAATGCAAAGCTCGTACTAAACCAACATTTGATATGTTGACAGCAAGCACGTGGAGTGTCAGGCAACCAATGCCGTGAAATGATGTGCTACTGAACTGCTTTTCAAAGTAGCGGTTGATCAACAACAGACTTCATTATACGGGCCAATCTTGCTATTCCAATCTGCGAGTTGCAAGACATCAACTCGCTGTGGGCATCTCGTGATTCAAGGCCCAAACACTTCAACACTCCTCCAAACGCACAGCACCGGAAGACCCCTGCAAAGCTCCTGACCTTCCACTTTTCGAGCTTGGCCAGGCGCTCCAAAATCTCACTGATCACCTGGCGAGTCTTTCTGAAGCAGGGCTGCTAGGCCCTAGGGCGCCCTAGGGTTGCTAGGGAGACGTCCTCCATCGGGCTTATTCACCTTGTTGGCTCTGAAATGCCCTGCTGGTATCCTGCATCCCGGCTCTCGCCTTCGGATCCACCGCATTGGCTTCGGCCGGATTGGCTTGGACTTCGCCTGGAGACAGGGCAGACTTTGCCGAAAGCTGGGCTTTCTTGTCGATCTTGGCTTCGTCTGCCACAACCGTGGAGCCGACCCACCCTCAGAGCCGAAGGTTCAAGCTTTGGAGCTTGCCTTATGAAAGTCACGTGGGAAGCAGCTTCTTCGCAGAACGAGGCCTTTCTTCGGACCACCACCACCACGGCCACCACCACGGCCACCACCACGACCCATGGCCGCTCTGAAACAGTCTTTGGATTCAGGCGGCAAAAGACGTCGCGGTGAGGCTCTTGTGCAGTACCTTCCTGCCACTCTGGCTGTTTATCATGGGAAATCGATGCGCGCTCTGGGTAAAAAACAAAACAGCCGTGTTCTGGAATCTGGTAGCCACAACGGCTTGGCCACATGAGAAGCTCAGTTCAAAGGTCGCATTCTTCTACCCTCAGGACCATGAGCCCGAAACCCTAGACAGCCAATGTCAACCCGTCTCCCCTTCACACTAACTGCCAATGGCGGCATGCTCAAAATCGGGCAGAATGGAGCCATCATCGCAAGGCTGGTGTGTGTGTGTGTGACACCCCGGAAAGCACAATCCGAAGTGACTTCTCTTCATCACCTTCGACACAGCGCCCCAAAACAACAAACCACACACACTGTATTCCTCGCTGCTGCGAATTAACGTCTCAAGTTTGTCGGGGTCGAGGCCGAAGGTGACATGGTAGGTTTACAACAGCAGATGGTCAATCATCCCCTTGGCAAGACTTACGCAAACACAAGTGTCAGATGCTCAATACCGTTGATGCCGCCGGAGTGACCTTCAGCCTAACTCTCCTTTTCCGTTGCTGAATAGGGCTGTCATCTATTATGGCTTTGACAAGCAATGCACTGCAAAGCAAGGTAGGTGCGTGGCTGGCGAAATAAGAACTGACGGTTGAGGTTGGAGATCTGTCAAGGCTGCACACGTGCCGGGAAGCTCTGTGCGCTGCTTCAGAACATGGAACCTTGTGTTTTGTGCGATGTTTCTTGTTCTACCAGCCGTTCACCAGGATAAACGCTTATCAGCCTTCAAGAAATTCATAGACAACAACACCCTTGTATGCCCCGAAGCGGTAGCACAGCACACTTAGCAAAGCCTGAGGTTTCGAAGTGCCTCTATCCTGTCCATGTCAGTCACCAGGACCTTCCCACTGCCACAAGAAGCTCCAATCCTGAAAGGCAATCGGACCGCTCTTGGAGCTGGGTTCTGAAGTCAGGCTATCGGGTGCACATCCAAGCAGTGTCATGCTATGGACAGAGCGGGGATTCGAAACTGTTCGTTCGAGCGGCAACGTGACGAAGAGATGTGCAACCCAAACCTAAACGCCTAAACTGACGCAAATTCCAGGCTCTGAGCTTCTGTTTGAATTGGAAAGCAGACAGGCCTTGTCGGCCCAGTATGGGCCCGAACTGCCAGAGAGGAGGTAGGTTAGCTTCGAAGTAGATTGAGCCCGACGGTCCGTCGGTGGAGGCCTGCGGGTAACGAGACGAAAGCTGCCAAGGCTCATGGCAAAGCTCTTCAGAAACTCGCAGCCCAAAGCGCCGGCACCTAAACCAGGGAAGCACACTAACACACACGAACTCAAATTCGGGCAAGGCGGCAAGGCGGGCGCTGAATGCACCTGTACTTGGAGTCTACTCGCGATCTTCACGTGGCAAGCACAAGAGGAGAGGCAGCTCCAGGAAGTTCCGGAACTGAATCTGTCGACAGTTTCCGTAAACGCCATCGGACAGTTTGGCCCGTCCATGGTCGACAAGAATCACCAAATGCAGCATCCTTATCATCACGCCACCCGGACAGGGACCACGAATTCTACGAAACCTCGGATGCTCAGCACGGAGAACATTTCAGCCTCACCACTTACAGCCTCGCTTCTCACCGATCAACATGAAAAGGGCAACTCCCCATCCACCATGGACAATCAACTTCTCAACCTGCTCTGTAATTCCTCGACGCCCGGCCTTGCAAACCGCACCGCTCAACAAACATGCGCAGCAACACAATGCCATGTTGACATCGAGCCGGACTTTGACCCTCCACATCTCAGGAGATGGCCGACTAAGAACAGCTTCATGTTCGAGATCGCCTGCTTCACTAGTGAGTTCTTGCGTGAGGCCAGGCCTACATGGCTCAGAGGCAGGTCGCCGTTCAGAAATTCCTCCTTGCCGGGTCCTTGCCTAGATTAACCCCTGCTATGGACCTGTGGTTTCATGTTGAGCCCCTCACTTCGGATGCTTTGCGTTTGCAAGCACGGACCCCTGATCCTGCTTCGACTTCTCAGAACCTCCGACGCAAGAAGCATGCTGGAACAATTTTTGATCCGGGGCTTAGAGGCTCTGAGCTGCACGGCATGGACAGATGTGATATCACCAAGAAGCTGCATGTGTTACTAAGATTTACTAAGCCGGGATCGTGGACTTTTTGCTCAAAGGCACGCCACCAGAGCACCGAGTTACTTATCGTAAACAGATAAACCCAGCGTCACAAGATTACACCAAGCACTAGTCTGAAATTCTGAACCACCTCATCACTGGCCTGCTGAATGGCGGACCCGAAGATGGCAATCTGGTCGTCGTAGCGGCTGCCTAAAGGCCTTGCTGTCGAGAAAGGGGAAGGCGGGCAGGTTGCAGGCAGGCCGGCAGCAGGCTCCCCTTTCTTTGCGGGGTACACTCGGGCACAGGCTTCCAGTCCGGCGGCTCTGATGCTGGGCAAAGCTCGAACCTGAAACCAAAACGACCATGCAAAAGGGAGCTCTCGCTGGCCGGGCTAGCCTTCACGAAAAAGTGATCTCAAGCGCACAAACACCCATGAGGCCTGATGGTTACCACAAGCCACCCTGAGTCATCGAAAGATTCCTCCGATACATCTAGGCATCTAGGGCACAGGCATATCCAGGTAGAGGAATTGGTGCAATGGCGTGTACTTGCCTGTGAACTTGACCACCTGCAGCAAGCCCGGTCTGCTTCTGAGCCAAGCTGCCACTGATAGGACTCATGAAAATCCAACCCGACATGTGACATGCCGACCACTCAATACGGCAGCGCCCCCAAACCTGAAAAGGAGAAGGGCCAGAGTACTTTTGGGCAGTTCAGGATGCACTGGCACGCGGTGAACACACGCAACCTTGACTGAAACGGCTGTGTCAAGCATATCAAAGAGTTTCTGATGCCGCTCCACCAACTGTGCACACAACTGGACCCTGTTGCTTAAGTTGCACCGGGTTTCACCAAGACAAGTCAAGGAGGAATCTTCTGCACCGGCAGCATGCACACGCCCAGCAAGGTCTGCAAGAAGTTCTGGTAAGCCCAAGCACCGACACTCCATGACCACCGCGATGACTGGCATAGTGCCTCCTGCGCGACCACACCGCCCAAGAAGGCGGCCATTGGGCTGATCCTGACCAGGGCCCATTTGAGTTTCGGGCTGACGCTTCTTCGGGTGTCCAGGTTCACAGCTCAACCAGAGATGCTTGCGTTTGTGGGGCTTGTGTGGGTGCTGGTTGGCAATGATTCATATTCGTTTCGGGACGCTTCCGGTCCTACGTCGTCTACGTCTTACGTTTTCAATTTGTTCAAGCCTGGCCTGTAGCCTCTGCGCTGCGAGGTTTCTCGGCAAAAACCCCTTCGAAAAACTTGAAATCAACTTGCCCGCCTCAGTCATAATGCATGCTGAGTTCCCGACATACACCTGGCAAACATGGCCACGTTTTTCACCACATCGGCCTCTACCTCAGGCTGCAGAAACGCACATGGCCAAGCTTCCCTTGAACGGATTCGGATGCTCCAGGGGTGAGAGGGATGACGAACCGAACCCTTGGTCTGGGAGCCTGGGACTCACGGGCGAGATCGCCAAGCTTGCACCCATCCACTCGGGAACACAAGAAGAGTTGTTGCTCAATCCTCAGCCTAAGCACAGCCTACTTGTTTAACACTACCAGATCCCAAGGCCCCACGCAAATAAACCTCTAACTCGAATCTCCAACACAAGAGACACCTGAAACGCCCGAAAACCACCGCCCAGCGCTCCATTCACTGAAATCCCTTGCCAAGATCTGGGCCGCATTAAACTTTAGGGCATGCAGGATCTTGGCATTTAGAACACAGGAATCCGGGTGTTGGACATCTGTATGCTGCAACATCTAATCTATGTCTGACTACTTCGAGCTTGACTTCATTAGTGATTCATTAGTACGAAGCCTCATCAAAGACCACCACAAGAATCGAGGCCCGGTGCTTAATAAACTGCCTGTGGACACTTCACCCTCCACCATTGGGCCACCCGATGATAGAAACCAAGGACAGCCTCCTCCACAAAAACAGAAGGCTCACCTTCACTGGTCCTGCGCCCAGGGGTCAGAAAGCTCTTCTGCGGCATGCGAGGGCTTGCCACAGCTGGGTTCCATGCTTGACCAACAATGTTTAGCACTTCTTTGAGGCGTTGACGACAGTTGATTTCTCGTTGCAATGCTAGATGAAACCTTTTGTGGGCTGGCATGCATGAAGCAGAATGCCAGTTGTGATCTAGTATCGGAAAAGCAATTCTGGACCTCGTTCTAGAAGGTGTCAAGGGCGATTGGGAAATCCAAAGCGGGTGCGCGTAATGACTGCCATAAACAGATGCTTCGAACTAGCTAAGTGTCTGACCTTCACGGTCGTACAGATTCTATGTTTTTTTTTAACCTATCATGGCATTGCAGCACATGTCCAACATATTCACAAAGAACCAAAGACTGAATGTTTGCTTTCTGCCACTTGAAGTCCTAGACTGCAAACTTCTGAAGCAAAAGATGAAGTTGCAAACTCTCCTACCCAAACACTTCAACATGACCAGACGCACGAGAACCCTGAACCCCGAAATCCCGTACACTTGGCTCGTCATCGAACAAGCATCATCAAGAAAATGACTCTGCCCCCTGCTAAAGTTTCACCAAGAGCAAAGCCTCCAACGTGGTCTGCAGCTTGGCAAGCGTGGTGTATCACAACTCAGAACTCAAGCGGAAGCCTTGCAGAGTTCATCTCCTTTGCAAGCTGGACCTCGGCTATGAACCAGTGTACGATGTAGACGATGTAGGGCTGATAAGGACCTAGCTTGTGGGGGCAAGGCTTTGGGAGAACACCATCGGCTGCTCGGGGCTCAATCTGTGGCAAAAGGTTATCGCGGAGTGATCGCAACCCGCGGCTAGGTCGTGGACACACTCGTCTGCCGCAGCTGCATCTCGCACTGGAGGTAGTTGGCCATGTTTCCTTTGGAGCAGAGCGCTGCAGCACCGTATAGACTGTCTCAGACCGATTGTGTGGGCAAGCTGCTTGATTGAACAAGTTCTCACCTCAGTGATAGCAACCAATGACACCAGCTGTTTGCCTACTCACTCTGCGAAGTGAGGAAGCTAAGCATGGTTCTTGTTGACCTTGTGGACATTAGCAGCGCAAGCTGAATCCCACAGCCTATGGCCTAGGTCAGGAAACGCTTGCAAACCAGACCCCGAAAGCCCCACGAAAAAGCTTCAGGAACACCAAACCAAGTTCCGCTTCTCCGAAAGTGTTATAAACTGCAGACGAGGTTCTCTCTGTACGCCATGACCGCCTCCGTGCAAGGAGTTTCGGGTTTGAGGAATTGGGGTGTTCAGGGTGCGGGGCTGGCTGGGAATGATGGCATGGTTACTCAGGGTTCACGCAAGTCTGCAGCCGTCGTGCCAGCAAGCACTTGCTCTACTGCGGCTGTTAATCCGCCGACCCCTGCTGGGGCGGCGCCAGTGAAATCCAGAAGGGTTGGTTTTTGCTTGTCTTCCCGTCAAGAAGAAGTAACAGGCTTCAAAA